CAAACAAATTTTGGGAAATATAGTATATTTGCTTCAATTCCTGTCATTAAGTAGGTGTTTGAATATTTTACCACTATACACTGCATCATAAGTTCAACTTAGCATTAGTTTCAACCAAATAAAACTACAGAATGTAAACTCACTATGGTGAAAGATATCACGTTTTGCTCATCTTAAGACTATCGATATATGATTGCAAATTACATGTTTCTTATTTCCAAATGAAAGCAAATTATTGTAAAATATTTCAAATCATTGCCTGCTTTCTTTGCTGTGGAATTATTTGAACCGGAAGTTTACAAACAAATTTTGGGAAATATGGTACATTTGCTTCAATTCCTGTCATTAAGTAGGTGTTTGAATATTTTACCATTATACACTGCATCATAAGTTCAACTTAGCATTAGTTTCAACCAAATAAAACTACAGAATGTAAGCTCACTATGGTGAAAGATATCACGTTTTGCTCATCTTAAAACTGAAAATTTAGAGCACATTCGATTTTGTAAAGAAGGCGATTCCCTGAAATTTTTAAGTAACAATGCACACAGCTTCCTGGAAAATTTCTTGTTGTCTCGAACTTTTAAGAGAGCGTGTCGTACGCTCCAAACAACTCGATCAAAACAACTTTCCCTTTCGTATCCGGTCCTGCAACAATATTTTTTCTCCAAAAAAGAAAGAAAAGATTCTTGAGTTGGGCATGTATTTTCTGATAGTTTTAACTTAGTTTCATAAAATATCCAAATATCCAAATATCCAAAATATCCGGTGTAATAGTAAGTGTAAAGGACGTTTCGTGATAAAATGCTCATAAACGTCGTTAAAAAATGACATTTTTTCTAAGCAATTGGCAACATCAATTGGTCTAGGGCTGAAGTAAATTAAATTTGCGGTTTTCTTAAAACTTCTTTAAAGTGAGCTTCTGTATGTTTATCCTTTGTTTACTCTAACAAATGATAGTTTCTTTTGTTTGGCAGATACTTATATGCCGAGCAAAGCCTACAACAGCTATTTTCCAAGCAAATTAGTACGTTTTTGCGTGAAGGCTGAAATGAATTCATCTAAGACTGTCGTGATTTATTTGATAGTTGTGGCTGGAGTCCATCTCTGTAATGGCCAGTGTCTGAATGGATGGGGTAGTGTTTTTGGCTGTCGCAAGGTTTGTAACAAAACTGGCTGATCTTTCCGCTTTAAGGCGAGGAAAAGTGTTTACATTTAGATAATGAAAGGTTTACACTTAAACAGATTTTTGGTTTCCTTCGGAATTGTACGTCAATATTAATTATATTTTTCTAGTGGTGCACTAACTTCCAAAGCTTTAAAAAACCGATAAATTCATCTCAGAATTTCTTTTCTTTTCTGGCGCTACCTCTAAGACTATAGATTAGAAGACAAACCTTAATGTGTGCAAACAAATAGCCCAAAATTTATAAATTTAGTATGTTTACTGAGCGCACTATCGCCTCAGCAAGTCTTTGGAGATTTTAGGATATATTTCGCGTTACCTACATTGTCCACGATAACATGGATAGGGATATGGACAACAAAATTTAGCACTTAGCACCTTGAAATAGATGCAATCCTATACCAGCAATAGAATATATGCTCAAGATGTGAATTACATTGTTTGATTTTAAAATTGATTGTCATAACGTGGAATCAAATTTTGGTCATCAACCCCTCACTGTGACATATCTGGGGAGAAAAGACAAAGATTAATTCGCCACCCTTGAGATATTTTCTCCTCTAGTCGTGGGACATTACAAAAACCCTGTTCCCCTTCCTGTTATATAGAATTTAACCACCATGATAGATTGCCAGTTCAACTGAAGACGTATGCGTTTTTTTATTATATTTCTCATTTAGTACGCGCGCTGTGATTCGTCAATTTAGAGGGACGTATTCTACTGTACGACTCGCTAAAATTTAAAGATGTTTTTGTTGCCAAAATGTTTCTTGATTCATCGCCAAGTGTTCTTAACTATTTTAGCGAGTAAAGTTTAAAACTTTCTTTTACTTCTGAAATTGTGTATTAAAACCTCACCAACGATTTCAGATTGACTCGTTTTGCTTTCGAGGTGCGTCAAAAATTTGAAGCCGTTCCGCAGGAATAGAAATCGTTCCCGGACCTGCCAGACACACAGTAGAGATATAATAAATATCTTACTAACCTCGTTTTCTCGGTTCGTACTGTAAGTTACGGATCCTCGTTTATCCCCTTCGAAAAAACTCGGTCCGTAACTTATACAGTATGGGCCTCGAACTCGGTTAGTACAAGGTACATCACTTTCCTTTCCGATAATATTTCATTCCCATGGTTAGTTTTGTTATTAAGCGAAGCGATGATTAAGCGAAGGTCGACTTGTAGCAAGTCTAACGTTTTTCATACATAAAAGTATGGCTGAGGGTGTTAAAGCAGTTCAGCTATTAGTTAAACGAGTTCTCAGATACCTGCTAGCACTTAAGTCCATTTCTTATTTATTAGTAAAAACTTTGTAGGTCTCAGATCTCAGCGATCCGTCTAAACATTGTAAAATAGAGGGGAATAGTTACGAAGCCCGGCAAATATCAAAGGAGCAAATAAAGATGACAATGTTTATGTTGGAAGGTCCACCACCGTGCACGATCTTTTGTTTTGCGTTCATACACTATGCGTGAGTTACGTAATCAAAACATTTCTATTGGTTAGTTCCTCGGTCAGTAGTAAACAACTATTGTGTTTTGTGCACGGTCAAGGCAATAAAAGAGAACAAAAGCATACCATAAAGAACTTTGTCGAGTTTCATAACCATTTCCCTCTATTAACTATTTAAAAAAGAGCTTTTCGAAGCTGAAAAGTCAGACCCTCAGACCATCCAGACCCTCACACATGTTCAGCTTCGTCCAATAGCATGCCAAAAAGTACATTAAGTATGTACCTTTGCGAATATTTTGGCCAATTTGGGGAGCATTTCGGACGTTCGGTGACTTTTTTACGGTTCCACAGGGCCACTAGCGATCGGGTTTCAGCACATTTCCAAATATCGAAAAGATAATTGAAACCACAACACACAGCAGAGTATTGAAATCAGGTAAAACACTCTCTGGAATATTTGACACATCTTCTCAGTCTAAACTAAACGTAAAGAGCAATTAGAGAAAATCATTCATGATTGTTAAGGTCAGACATACAAACATCGTCACGATTATCAATCCAATTAAATTTTAACTGAATTTCCTACGATAATGGGACCCCGGGGGGGAAAGTTCTCCCAAAAGGTTGGGTGAAGTGTGCGGCCCACTTCCCAAAACCGTTACACTGATATATTTACGACCAAAATCTGTGATTTTTTGCTACCCTATTTATAACCTGGCCAAAACTTCGATACCCCATTTGTGACCGTTGCGGCACAGGTGCCCTAATGATCTTGTTGATAATGATGAAAAAGTAGCTTCTTCTAAGAAACATATCCAATTCAAGACAGACTAGGGTGCTAAAATCATACCCTATTTATGGCCAAAATGGCCAAAATCGATGCCCTATATATGACCAAAACGACTGAAAAACCCTACCCTTTGGGGCCGCACATACCTTTATAGCCCATATAAGGAAGCACCTCCGGGCTATGGGATGTTATCTTGGAGTATCGCCAGGTTCTTCACATTCGCGTTCAACGACAAATGTATGGGACGAGACATCTAGCAGTAGCAAGCTTGAAACTGGGATCTACGTTAATCAAATGAAGATGTTTGACTATCTTATTATTTGCTTTTTCATTTAAGAATGATGTGAAAAGAACAGATTCTATCAACTTTGCAAAAGAATATCGTGGCTTTTCAAATCAAGATCAACAACAGAAGGCGGTGGAAAGTGACGAGGTCTACTTGAAAGGAATGCCCACGAATTATGGATACAAGGACATGAAAAAAGATTTGTTCGCATATTGATTTTTAATACAATAAACTAAGGATCGTTAAGTCACCGACATACTATTCCAACAACTTGCAACTCGTAAGAAATTGTAAGAAATTGTGTCCTCTTTCTCGTAAAACCACAAGATATTTCGTTGTCTGAATTAACATCATTAAATTTAAAGGTGCACCCTCTATGTTAATTAACTGATAAAATGAAAAAAAAAAAAACGATAAAGGAATTGTAAGTCACGGACGTACTATTCCAAGAACTTGTAACTCGTGTAACAGAAATTTAACAAATTGTGTCCTGTTCCTCGTAAAATCACAAGATATTTCGTTGTCTGATTTAACATCGTTAAATTGAAAGGTGTACTTGTACTTTCTATGTTAATTATAATTAGTGGCTTGCTTTTCAATAATATCAATAAAGATATATGGATAATGAGTATGTCGTGGCCATATGAATTTTTTAGCTCTTAACCTGATATCAAACAAGATAAATCTTCAATCATCTGGATCTGAGGTAATTTGTACTAATTTTGGTCCACCTGAAGCACAGCTCGACCGGAACTTCAATGCTAGATGTCGCTGCCCCGCACTTGATTGATTATACTTCATCTACAATTAAGGGCGTTATTTAGCCTTACAGCGGTCACATATATAGCACGTCATACACCTTATTAGGAATGCCACGAGCTAACAAGGTTAAAATCATCACGGTCGTATAAAATTCGGCTCTAGTAGGTCACGAATTTGTGTTTAAGTTTATTAGAACAAGACACATCACACAAGGATCAATGGTGGTTACAGTTAAAGGCGAAATTTCCCTTCATGGAAATTATCTTTGTTGTTAGACGCTTACAGCGTCTTATAATTAAGGAACTCTTAATTTTTAACTGCACACTAGAGATCGACATTAGATAAATCTTTCTATTCCATAAACACTGATTTATCTCTTTTTTGTGTCGACCCATCTCCTCATTAACTCGGAATAAAATACAAGTTTCAGACAAAGCTAGCAAACGTACTTTCTTGATCTAGGAACCGTCAACAATGTCGCTTTGCGGAGAAAATGATCTAGCTAAAGATAATCTAATAACGCCGAAACAATCAGGAAAACAACATTCAACAGGATAATATAAAATTTACATAAAATCATTACTTTTCCACTTCATGCTTAAGAAAATTACTTATTTACAATTTGATACCACGCGTAGCTATTAAGTGTCAAGAGGCCTTTTCAGCCAAGGGATAGTCAGAAAGTGATGGTAAGCATAATTAGGTGTCGTGTAAATGGCATCCGTCTCATCTCTGAGGAACACAAGACTCGAGGAGCAGGTGGTAGTGAAGCATCGTTATACTTATGGAGAGATCCTCAATGGTATGAAAGCAATCAGATAGATATATGATAGTTATCTTGGATTGCATGCCAATAAATTTGTTATGAGATAGTCGAGTTTCCTGCCGATCAATAATTCAATAATCCAAAGGAGTTTTAAAAGCACCATGATTCCTCTGTGTTTCACTCTGGTGGAATGTTGAAGATGAACGCTCTAAAATTTCTGGTGATTCTCTCCCTGCTTCTGACTGTAGTCGCTGGACGGAGCAGGAGGGGATGCAGTGATTGGGGCATTGCCATGGGCTGCCATGAGGTGCGTGTGAATATCAATTAATGTACCATTTTTTGCTTATTACTGATCTTTAATTGGTTGATAATCGCGTCGTAGTGGAAACAGAAAACATTTGGAACGTTTACTAACGGAAAGAGGAAACTACAATCATGCGTGAGGATTTGTTTATGTCGATTCATTAGACTCTTCTACAAATATCACGTCTAAATATCTTTCCGCGAATTCTCAAAAAATCTTCTAAATATCTCATATTTTTGTTGCAAAATAGTCCGATTTTAAATTATTTGGGCCAAAATTTCCATGCAGTAGTAGAAATTGAAGAAGAAGATTCAGGGGCTTCGATGTTACCACCATCCGCCATTTTGGAAATTTGCTGCTTTTTAGCTTTTAGTAATATGGAATACAGTTTACAAGCGAGAAACAGCTGAACTGGATTGTTTCTAGCATAGAACTAAGAATTGTCTCGAGTAAACAGCGAGGAAAACACAGGGCTAAGCCAAGAAAAGCTATGAATATTTTTAAATACAGTAGAACCCCGGTAACTCGAACTCGGACAACTTGATCGTATGAGTCATAGTGGATGCGGTGCTGAAAGATCAGCAAACTATCAATTATTAACATGGCAAGTTGGATATTCAATCGAACCCGATAACTCGAACCCCCTAACTCGAACTGTTTTTCGTTTCCCTTCAGAGTTCATGTTATCGGGGTTCTACTGTATCCTCAAATTTTCTAAATATCTTGGAAACTTCTAAATATCCCAAAAAATATCCGGATGTTTGTGGAAAGGCCTATGATGCATGTTATAAAGGAAATATTGAATAACAGAGTAAAAAAATGATTATGAAAAGTTCTCTTTTCCAGTTTCCATATTATATTGCCAAATGTCACATGGATAAAAAAAAAAGATTATACAGTGTAAAATAGAACAATTTTATTTTTTCAAGAAAAATACAGCATGGGAGTGAATTATAGTTCATCCGAGTGTAATTTTGTGTCAGGATATTAAGAAATGTATCTTGCAATTCTGCTGAAAGTGTGAGTCGTTTAGTCCGTATTTTACTTCCTTTTAATTGATATTTGTTTGCTTTCTCCATTATATACTTTTACCCGCATAAAAATAAGCGATGACTAGAAGTTTTTTTATTCTACCTACGTGAGGAGCGAAGATCCGAATCAGCAAAAAAGGGACATTTAACATACAAATTTGGAAATCAAGTACGCGAAAGTCTCGGAGCGATTTGTGCCAGTTACCACAGAAGAGAAAACAATAATTGAAAGTTAAACTCCTTGTTGTTATCTATAAAGAGATTACTGTACTCTATTGTCATAATGCGCAATTAAAATTCTTTGTGAGTTAAAGGGAGGGTTTCACGTTTCGGCGCATGTCTGTATTATTTATTCGCCCGTGCACCCTTTTTGGCAAAGGCCCAATTTTTCATTGTTTCTGAACCAATCGTAAACAAGTTACCTAATTTCGCATGCAAATAGCCGTAAAATCATCAACCGTAGAATAAATCGTACGTGTCAACACTAAATTCAACGGTGGACAGCGTCGGTAAAACCCATTGAAATCTTCTGAGAATTTTGGTCATCCGGTATTCTGCCAAGACTAACTATAGCGTGTGATTACTGAACTACATATGAGTGGGATTTTTAAAGCGATAACATTTATAAGAAGTGAACAGAAGTCTTTTGATCTAGAGACATGCACCGAACCGTTAAACCTTCCTTTAACATTCTCTTATTAGAAATGATGTCAAATGGGGTCATCAGAGGTCTCGAGAACTCTCATCACTTCATAAACGAAACAAGAGTAAAGACAAGAAAAATAATAGCATAACACAATGATAACGTTTTTTCTTAAACACAAATACCGAAATCTCAGTGTGTTTTACAAAGTGTAAGNAAAAGGGGTTTGGAACACCACCAGACAGTTGATTGCCCCCAAAAGGGCACCCCGGGTTGGTGGGCAACTGTTTGGTGTACGTCTACCAATTTCTAACTTTAACATCAAATCTTCAAAATTCCTATTTCTATAAATTTTACTAATCCTTTGAGAAAAACTATTTATCCCCAAATATACCCAAAAATCACCAAAAAAATTTACAAAACAGCCCAAAACGTAGCTATGTGAAATGAGTAGAGAGATTTTTCACTGCTTGAAACGTGAACGAGATATTTGCATTCAAACCATAATACCCAGCAAATATATGGCCTTCATGTTAACCCCCCGCCTTAAAAGAGGCCTTATGTGACATTAATTCACAAAAGAGATAAGTAACGGTAACAGGTAACTTTTCTACACAAGAAAATTAGTGAAAAGTTTAAACATTTAATTACCTTTTGAGAAATAAGAAAGTTCTAGTTTAATTTAATTTCACATTGTAAGGTAAAGTGTTCCATTTCAAACAAATGTCTCAAATGGCTGCTCTCACCTCTATATCCGGAATATAGCTAGATGCACAACACAACAAACTGCAAAACTAACTTCGCTAAGAAATTGTTTTCAGACCTGGTTAGAGATACTCAAGGGAAAAGTTGGTAAATTTCGCTTCAGAGCAGTTCACAACCGAGCCTTGAAAACTATAATTAATGCGACAAATACGTTCTTCTTTAGCTACATCCGGGTTTCCACATACATTTGGGAAATCAAATACCGCCAAAATATGGCCACTAAATGTGTCTAATGATGGCAACGCGATGATGTAGTGGCAAGTTTAAGAGTTTTTGAAATAATATGTTAAAATCTTAAGTTGTTAATTGATATTTCCGATTTTTGTAGAAATTCAAGCAAGACGCCGGCATTTCGCGGGTGCGCAAAGAGGAATGGCGAGGAATTCCTGCAACATTTCAGGACCAAGATGAAGGAGACATTCCAGACGACAGCAACAATGCATGGAATGCGATGGATTTGGAAATGAAGAACAGAAAGAGGGCATCTGGATACAAAGGTTTCAAGGCTTATTTAGAGGACTTTGATCAATAAACAAGGATTAAAAGCCAAGACACGATATTTTGCAGATTTTAGAAATATTACTTATTGTAAAATTCTAGTAACATAATAGTGCCTGAAATCTGTTTTGTTGTTGTTATTTTTTTGTTTTTTAGTTGTCTAAATTAAAAACTGTGGTCAACTTTAAACGCAATAAAAAGTGGTGAACTAAGCAAATGCACAGTAATCAATTAGTTCCTTGACATCGATTAAAAAAAACATCAAACGATAGATCCAACCAAACACCAATCAGTAGCACACTGCATGTTTTAGAGAAAACACTCTGCTATCTGAACAAGGATAGCAGAGAGATAGCACAGATATTATTATTATTATTATTTTGGTGGGAGGGGGATGTTGGGTAATTTTCTTGGGAATGATTTTTTTCTTGTTTTCCTTGGCAATAGCTCGTGCAAGAATTTGTTTTCACATTTAAAATCAAAATAATGATAGCAGAAAGCGCTTGCTTAATTTTTGTTCCCATGGCTCCCCTTGCACGATTTTGTTTTTCAGCATTTTTTTTTTCTGTGCAGGAATTTTTGTTTGGGAAATTCCCAATCCCTCCCCTCCACCCCCTCAAAAAAATAATGGTCTGTCTCTAAATACGTAAGGTCCGAGAATATTTTTTTAAGCAAACGTGTTATATATGTCTGTCATTCATACCTTCCTAATCTTCTCATGATTCTCTAGAAGAGAAGACGTTTTGGATTTAATAATCTCCATTGTGAGTAGGTATTTGAATATTTTACCACTATACACTGCATCAAAAGTTAAACTTAGCATTAGTTTCAACCAAATGAAACTACAGTATGTAAGCTCACTATTGAAGAAGATATCACTTTTCACGCAAGATTGAAAATTTGTAGCACATTCGTTTTTTACAACGATAGCGATTCTCCGAGATTCTTATTAACAAGGTATATAGCTTCCGGGAGAATTTCTTGATGTTTCGACAGTTTTTGAAGGGAACATGTCGCAGCGGGACTCAGCTAAGGCGAAACAGCTTTTACTTTCAAGCCATGCAACGAAAAAACAGTTGAGTTCTAAATGTCTTTTTCAATAGGCTTAATCCAGGTTTGAAACACACAATGTATCTGGAAAAAGAATCAAAACTAAATCATGTCTGAAGGAAGTTGCGTGCTAAAATGCTCATAAAAGTCGTTAAAAATGGCATTTTCTCTAAGCAATTGGCAATATCAATTGGTCTAGGACTGAAGTGAATTAAATTTGCGGTTTTCTTGAAACTTCTTTAAAGTGGATTTTTGTATGTTTAGACTAACAAATGATAGTTTCTTTTGTTTAGCAGATACTTATATACCGAGCAAATCCTACAACAGCTGTTTTGTAACCAAATTAGTACGTTTTTTGCGTTAAGGCTGAAATGGAGAATACGAGAAAAGAATTGTTAAGTCACGGACACACTATTCCAAGAACGTATAACTCACGTAACAGAAATATAACAAACTGTGTCATGTTCCTCGTAAAACCGCAAGATATTTCATTGTCTGATTTAACATCATTAAATTGAAAGGTGTGCATGTACTTTCTATGTTAATTAATTAATGGCTTGCTTTTTAATAACATCAATGAAGATATATGCATATTGAGTTTCTTATGACTATAGCAATTTTATAGCTTTTAAGCTGATATCCAGCAAAATAAATCCCCCATTATCTGGATCTGTGGTAATTTTGGTCTACATGAATCACAACTTGATAGGAACGTCTATGCTAGATCTCGCTGCCCCGCACATGATCGATGATGCTTCATTCACCATTCAGGGTGTTATTTAGCCTTACAGCGGTCTCATAGTCATTTACCTTATTAGGAATGACACAAGCTAACAAGGTTAAAATCATCACGGTCGTATAAAATTCGGCTCCAGTAGGTCACGAATTTGTGTTCAAGTTAATTAGAACAAGACACATCACACAAGGATCAATGGTGGTTACATTTAAGGGCGAAATTTCCCTTCATGCATGGTAATTATCTTTGTTGTTAGACGCTTACAGCGTCTTATAAGTAAGGAACTCTTAATTTTTAACTGCACGATAGAGATCAACAGTAGATAAATCTTTCTATTCTTTAAACATAAATTTATCTCTTTCTTTGTGTCGACCCATCTCCTCGTTAACTCGGAATACAATACAAGTTTCAGACAAAGTTAACAAACGTACTTTCTTGATCTAGGAACCGTCAACAATGTCGCTTTGCGGAGACAATGATTTACCTAAAGGTAATCTAATAACGCCGAAACAATCAGGAAAACAACATTCAACAGGATAATATGAAATTTACATAAAATCATTAATTTTCCACTCCATTCTTCAGAAAATAACTTATTTACAATTTGATACCACGCGTAGCTATTAAGTGTCAAGAGGCCTTTTCAGCCGAGGGATAGTCAGAAAGTGATGGTAAGCATAGTAAGGTGTCGTGTAAACGGCATCCGTCTCATCTCTGAGGAACACAAGACTCGGGGAGCAGGTAGTAGTGAAGCACCATTATACTTGTGGAGCGATCCTCAATGGTATGAAAGCAATCAGTAAGATATGATAAGTTAATTTGGTTTTATCAACTGGGTTGATAAAGTGAATTGGCCACCGTAAAGAGATTCGAATCTCTTTCCGGTGGCCAATTCACATTGTCAACCCAGTTGATAAAACCAGATTATCTTGTTGTACAGTTTCTTCAGAAACTTACCCGCTCTATTCATTTGTAGTAAGATATGATAGTTATCTTGGATTACATGCCAATAAAGCCGAGTTTCCTGGCGATCACTAATTCAATAATCCAAAGTAGATTTAAAAGCACCATGGCTCCCCTGTATTTCACTCTGGCGGAATTTTGAAGATGAACGCTCTAAAATCTGTGGTGATTCTCTCCCTGCTTGTGACTGTAATCGCTGGACGGAGCATGAGGAGATGCAAATGGGGCTCTGCCTTGGGCTGCCGCGAGGTGCGTGTAAATATCAATTAATGTACCATTTTTTGCTTATTGCTGATCTTTACTTCCAAACAATAGTACACTTCTGATCACATTTGGTTGATAATCGCGTCGTAGTGGAAACAGAAAACATTTGAAACGTTTATTAATGGAAAGAGAAAACTACAATCAAGCATGACAATTTCTTTAGTTTCGATTCACAAATATCACGTAAAATCGCCTAAATATACATATCTTTCCGCAAATTCTCAAAAAATCTACATATCTCGAAAATTGACCCTGTTACAAAATACACCGATTTTGAATCACTCAGGCCAAAATTTTCAAAATTTCCATGCAGTAGTAGGAATTGAAGAAGACGATTTAGGGGCTTCGATGTTATCACCATCCGCCATTTTGAAAATTTGCTGTTTTTGAGATTTTAGTAATGTGGAATACAGTTTGCTGAACTGGATTGTTTTTAGCATAGAACTGAGTATTAATTGTTTCGAGAAAATAGCGAGGAAAACACAGAGCCAAGCCAAGAAAAGCTATGGATATTTCTAAATATCCTCAAATTTTCTAAATATCTTGGAAACTTTTAAATATCCCAAAAAATATCCGGATGTTTGTGCAAAGGACTACGATGCATGTTATAAAGGAAATATTGAAGAACAGAGTAAAAAAATGATTATGAAAAGTTCTCTTTTCCAGTTTCCATATTATATTGCCAAACGTCACTTGCATAAAAAAAATATATTATACAGTGTGAAATAGAACAATTTTATTTTTTCAAGAAAAACAAAGAATTGGAGTGAATTAGAGTCCATCCGAGTGTAACTTTGTGTCAGGATGTTAAGAAATGTATCTTGCAATTCTGCTGAAGAGTGAATCATTTAGTCCGTATTTTACTTCATTTTAGCTGATGTTTGTTTGCTTTCTCCACTTCTGGCGTTTTTATATACTCATAAGCCAGCTTGGCTTTTACTGGCATGAAAATAAGTGATGACTTAAAGTTTTACATTGTTCCTACATGAGGAGCGAAAAAACAAACAATAATGTACAGTAATCCTCGCTTTCTTAAAAGAGGCCTTATGTGACATCAAGTCACGAAAGAGATAGGTAACGGTAACAGGTAACTCTTCTACAAAAGAAAAGTAATAAAAATTTTAAACATTAAACAACCTTTTAAGAAATAAGAAAGTTCTAAGAGATGATTTAAAGGAATTAAAAAAATACGCAAATTTAATTTCACATTGTTAGGTAAATTGTTCCATATCAAACACATGCGTGACTCAAATATCTGTTCTCACCTCCGTACCGGGAATAGAGTTACATGCACAACACAACAAACTGCAAAACTAAGTTCACTAGGAAATCGTTTTCAGATACTCTCGGGCAAAGCTGGTAAATTTCGCTTTAGGAAAGTTTACAACCGATCCTTGAAAAAAAATCATAATTAATGCGACAAATACGTTTTTCTTTAGCCACATCCGGGTTTTAGCATTCCGGAAATTAAATACCGCTCAGATATGGCAACTAAATGTTTCTAATGATGGCAACGCGATGATGTAGTGGCAACTTTAAGAGTGTTTGCAATAATCTTAAAAAAAGTCTTAAGTTTTTAATTGATACTTTCAATTTGTTAGCCCAGACCAGAGCAGGACGCCGGTATTTCGCGGGTACTCAAAGAGGAATGGCGAGGAATTCCGGCAACCTTTCAGGACCAAGATGAAGGAGACATTCCAGACGACAGCAACAATGCAATGGATTCATTGGAAATGAAGAACGGAAAGAGGGCATTTGGATACAAAAGTTTCAAGGCTTTTTTAGAGGACTTGGATCAATAACAAGGATTAAACCCCAGACGCAATACTTTGCAGATTTTAAAAATAGTACTTATTGTGAAACTCTAGCAACATAATGGTGCATTCAGTTTTGTTTTTGTTTGTTTGTTTTTCAATTGGCATAAATTAAAAACTGTAGTCAACTTTCAAGCAATAGAAGCTGTTGAACTAAGTTCTTGCACGTAATCGAACTTGTTCCTTGACATTCTCAAACTCACTAATAATTAATATTCATCAAGTTAATTAGGGGGAATATCATTAAATAGAGATTAATGTCATTTGCATGAAAAGAACTCCCCGTACTAGGCTCAGTTGCAAGCTAGTTACAGTCCAATACTAAGAATATAATAAGTCAAGTTGTTCTTTCATTTTGATTAGGTCTTACTTACGATCTATTGGAAGACAGACCCATAAATGACGTCATTAACAATTTCTTTGATTTCTCCATTATATTGTTTTGCGTCTGTTCAGTAATATAGACGACAGAAGACGTCAAAATGTGCTAAGAACGGCTTGTCCGCAGCTTCTTTGTTCTTACCACATTTTGACGTCATCTGTGATCTATTACTGAAAAGACGCACGGAAACATGGAATCTATTTGTTAAATAGCAAAGCAGTGGGTAGTGTTTTTCATGCATTCTGATTGGTATGTGCTATTCACCTACCAGCAGCCCCTCCCAGCTCGCAAGAGTCGTAAGCACAAAGAAAACTACAAGATTTCACTTGTCAGTATTTACAATTACCATATGGTTTTTGTTTGCAGCCGATATGGCGCACATTCTGATTGGCTAACTCTAGGTCATTATTCTCCCGTAATGCCGATTACGTGCCTGCAAATACAAAGCCTTATAGTAATCAACTTATGAACCTCGACCGTTCGATCGTTACGGGAAAATCTCAATCCTCGGCCTTGTCATCTTGACTTCGCCATGCTCGGTCAATACGGCAAGGTCGCGGTTTGAGACTTTCCCTTGAAGACCTCACTCTCGGTTAATAATTAGTTAGTACAGTTGTAATATATTAAGCCGTGATGTTATCGACGAAATCAACACACAACTATCTGTTAAAAAACACAGTTTACAACAACTTCAACAAAGCAGCTTTAGTGTTTCTGTTTACTGTTTCGTGCCCAGTCGAGGGTGGCCGTTGTTGTTCTGCGCAAACGACCGTTGTTTCGTTGAGAAGCGGCTCTTCCAACGCTCAGCCAACATGGAGCGACTAACTTCCTCATCACCAAGAGACATTAACCAAAAATATTCATGACTCAACCAAACACCGAAAAAATCTTCAAAGACAAATGTCCAAATGTTTTTGTTTTTAGTGGCCAATGCGCTTAACTATACTTAGCTAGTTCACAGGCATGCCACTTAAACTGTGCTACCAATCAGTATTACACTGCATGTTAAAGGTAAAGTCTGCTGGGCGTTGTCATTGTTCCCGTAATATGTGTATATGTTTTTGTTTTTTTTTGGCAATGTGATATATATTTATGTCAGGATACATATTTCTATCATGATTCTGGAAAGCGCATTTCTAATTAAGTTGATAAATGCAATTTTAAGAAACTGCACCAAAGTTACTCAGCGGACATGACCTTAGTAAGATCACCTTAACAGAGAGAAACTTTCTTAACTCTTTATTCTATAAGATAAGAAATTGATAAATTGATAATTCCTCATTCCCACTTTAATGAGAATTTTGGTGATACGATACCGCCTACTGTCATTAAGTATTGTTTTAAGGGACTTTGCGGGCCTTTTCAGGAACAAAGAAAACTAAGATGAAAAGAAAAGCTTCTAAAACCAGGTGAAATTTAAAAACCTTCACATGCGCAAGGATCCTTAACAAAAGCAATCAGAAATGTGCTTATTGCACAAAAGCGTTGCGGGTTTTTTCACGATCCACAAAAGATATACCTGTATCAAAAATTCCGAAAAAAAATTAATCGACTCTCAATTTTAAAAGAATATCGTAACAGTACAAAGACGAAAAAAGACAGATATAATTCAAAGAAGGAAGAGCTTCGATTATACGATGACTTATCGTGAGTTAATAAATGGTGAAGATGCTTTCGGTGCCCCATTTTGGAGGCAATCATCTACAGTGAAGCAAGATGTATTTTTATTCAGTGGAAAAGTAATTGAACCCCGATTGGCGTGTTTGCAATTTTTCTTACTTTATTTGTTTTACTTTTCTAAGGATAATAACTCAGATAGCTCACTATATCAAAGCACGCAAACTCTGTAATTATTACGAACATATCATAATACGGCTTGTTATCGCACGCGACGAATGCGGCGGAATAAATACTCTGTAACAATAACCAGTCTATCCCAATCACAAATACTGGATCTTATAAATTAAAAAGAAACCGCCAATTAATTAACAAAATTGAACTTACAAAACTGAGAAAATTTGGATCACGCGGTACTTGATCTTGTGCATTCATAAATCTGTCCTCAGATAACTGGCAATGTTCGGTAAATTAGTGGTTATGCTTATCAATTAATAATGATGTTTATGATTAATTGGAGTCAGTAGATGTGTATATAATCATAACCCTGCTTTATTACTTATATATTGGCATTGACAAACTGTGTTTAAAGATGAACACACTGAAATCTTTGGTGATTCTATCGCTTGTTCTGGCTGTAGCCACTGGAGAGAGGGAAAAAAGAGGCCTGAGCAATTGGTGCCGCGCTTTTGGCTGTCCTCCAGACAGTGCCTTTAAGGTTTGTGCAAAAACTAAACGTTTTAACCGTGGAAATTGAAAACTAAATCCTTGCGATTTGTCTCTATCCAGTCGTACTAAGGAAACAGCTTATAGTTTGTTTCTGGTATCTGCGAAGTTTCCTCGTATCGGGAGTTCAAAATCAATCTGAAAATAAGTGAAGAATTGGTGCAGACACAGCAGGAAACAGTTGGCTTTACTGCCCAGCAAGTAAATATTGCGTCGATATAAATTGAATGATATGTGGTCCGAACACTTTCTGTACTGTCATGATCTCGGTTTTCTAATTTATTATTTATTTCACACTTTGCGTTATGATCGTTGATATCAATTGAATCCGTAAAAACTGAAGAATGATTGAAGAAGACAAAAACAAAATTAGTTCTGCTTTCGAAAATCCTTTAAGTTAGAAATTTAGTGAAACACGGCGACTGCACTATTCTATCAAAGGTCTCGTGATGTTTTTCACAAAACAACTTTGAATGCAACTCAACCGAAGCATATCACGGTTTTTTTGTTATAAAAAAGTTTTTTAAAATTACTGTTTTAACTTCCGTTTCACATAGCATGAAGATATCAGTTTAGGAACCAAGTAACTCTATCAAATAAAATGTCAAAATTTTGACTTGAAAATCTTATATTTAACTCTTAGTTAGGGGCTATAAGTTTTTTTCTTTGCGAAAGCGTCGAATCGACTGTTGGCCGAGGGTAGAATATTGTCAAGGAAAAATGTTAAATTTCGGTTTTCATTTTTGATATACCAGAAGCGCACTTGGAGATCAATCAAAGCAGTTCTTTTGACCTCTGTGTAAACCAATCCTGCTGTGATAACTGTAAAATCCTTTACTGCTTCAAATTTGGTAACTGAACTTTAATACGATATGGTAACACTAGAGAGCTGACGTCACGGTTGCTGTAGTGCGGTTTGGGTCCAACGACAGAAATCAGCGTGGATAATTACGTTAGGTACTTCAATGTTTACAAGAACAAACCTGAATAAGATTGTTTATTCGAGTTCATATTTTTACAGAACAGAGGTGGTTCTTTCAACAAAGACTTCCGAGGAATTCCTCAAACATTTCAATCTCCAAGGGACATCTTCACTACACGGGATAAGAAGGAATCCGTGATAGACCACGGAAAGAGTGCTTCAAACTACAGATACGAAGAAATGAGGGATTACTTAAAAGAACTGTCGGAATGAAAGCAAAAAAAAAAAAAAAAAAAAAAA